AAACCCCAGGCCGCCAAATGGAACGTGCACACTTAACTGCTGTGCCACTGGGCTGGCCCCTTATTTAATTTTTAATGTAAAACATTTACACGGTTCCATGGTCAAACTAATAAACAAGATACATTTAAAGAAGTCTAGTGTCATCTCTGATCTCTCCCCCATATTCCTTTCCTCCTCATAGGCAATCATTTTTAAAAATTTTTGGTTTCCCTTTTTTTAAAAAATATAAGCAAATACTACATATGTTTTTATTTCTTCCACCAACTTGCTTACCCAAGTGTAGCATATAGTGTATTCTTCTGCACTGTGCTCTTTTCACTCAACAATATATAGATATAGATGTATAGACGTAGTACAGATATGCATATAGTTATAGGTATAAATATAGATATAGATATCTTCCACATTATTTTCTTATAATTTTAGATAACTCTATTAGAGAATTTTACTATGGCAAATAGCACTATAATTTTTAGCCTATTTTGTATCTTTGCCACCATATTTTATAAGCTAACTTCCTATAGGTGGCATAGGTGAACCAAAGAGTTAATCTGTAATTTTGCTTGAAAATACCAAATTACTCAATTTAGGGATTGTGCCAGTTTGTATTCTCCCCAGCAATACATGAGATTACCCATTTCCCCATAGCTTTCCCAACAGATACATTGTCAAACTTTTGGGTTTATGTCAACATGATGAGTGAAAAGCGGTATATTTGTGTGGTTATATTTCTTTTTGTTGGTGGTAGTGGTGAGGAAGTTTGTCCCCGAGCTAACATCCATTGCCAATCTTCCTCTTTTTGCTTGAGGAAGATTGTTGCTGAGCTAACATCTGTGCCAGTCTTCCTCTGTTCCTCATGTGGGACACAGCTACAGAATGGCTTGATGAGCAGCATGCAGGTCTGTGCCCAGAATCCAAGCCCACAAATCTCAGGCCGCCAAAGCGGAGTGTGTGAATTCAACCATCATACCGCTGAGCCAGCCCCTATGTGGTTATATTTCTAAATGCTTTTTTCACATTTTGATGTCTCTGATATCAGAATGTATCTTACAATTGTTGGCCTTGAATGGTTACAGTTGGAAATATTTTACTATTTTTTTAGCAGTACATAAAACGGTGATATATTTACAGTTGATGGTATTTTACATTCAATGAAATGTTATATCAGTAATCTCAATCAAAATAAATGAACTCAACAGTCCAAGCAAAAGGCAAAGATCTTCTGACTGAATATATATTTTTTTAAATCCTGCTATATGTCATTTAAAAGACCTAACATAGTAGCCTGAAAGGTTGATAGTAAAATGATGGGTAAAGGCATATTGGACAAATGCTAACCATATGAAAAATAGTATAGCTACATTTTAATATCAGGCCAAACGAAACTTAAAGAAAAAGCATCATTAGGGGTAAAAAACATTCCTAGACAATGATAAAATATAAAAATCAAAATTCTAAACTTGTATGCCCTAATAACATTACCTCAAAATATATAAAGCAAAAACTGACAACATTATAAGGAGTAATCAAACAACTGAATGTCAAAGAGGGAATTAGTAACTCAAACAGATAGAATGTTAGTACATTCAGATACAGAAGATTTCAATAAGACTATTAACAGCTTGATCTAGTTAAAAGATACAGTAACCTGTCCCACCAAAAAATAGTATATATACATTCTTATCAAGCACTTATGGATCATTTTTGAAAACCGACTGTACACTGTTACGTAAAGTAAGTCTCAACAAGTAACAATCGGTCAGTATCATACAAACTACCTTCTCAATGTAATTATGATAGGAGTCGATAACTATGAATACCTTTTTATAAAACCCACCTATTTGGAAATTAAAAGTCTATTAATGCAACTCATAATATTAACAAAATAAAGGAGGAAAACCACATGATCATCTCAACAGACGCAGAAAAGACATTTCAAGAAGCCCGTAGCAGAGATTATGATCAATCATGAAAAGTTGGAAGCATTCTCTTTAACGTCATCAAGAGAAGCAAGTCCTATATCACTTCGCCTAGTTCACATTGTACTGGATACTCCAGCCTGTACTATAACACCATAAACAAGACTGCTATTACCTGCAAAGTGTGTAATCAACCATATAGAAAACCCAAGAATATCTACAGATAAACTCCCAGAAATAATAAGAATATTCAGCAAGCCTTCTGATTATAAGATCAGTATACAAAAAATAATTACATGCTTATCACTTGCAACAAACAATTTAAAATGTTATTTTAAAAAATATATCATTTATAAAAGTAACCAAAAAAACCCCTGTAAGGTACCCAATAACGAATCTAACAACAAATATAAAAAGTCTTTATCGTGAAAATCATAAAATATTATTTAAAAATCCAAAAGAAAACCAACCAAATAGAAAGATGTACGATGTTCAGGAGTGAATAGATTAAATACAAAGATGTCAGTGGTCCCCAACATAATATATACATTCAGTTCATTTCAGTAAAAATCTTAAAATGTTGCAAGAGGGTATGATTTGATGTCTGAATCTAAAATTCATATGCAAGAGTAAAGGAACAAAAATAGCTCAGACAATTTAAAGAAAATCAGGAGAGGGAATTACCATGTCAGTTATCAAGACTTATCTGAAAGCTAAAATAATCTATTGTAATTATGAATAGTTATTGAGTGCTTACCATGTGCCAGACCGTACTAAGAACTTAAGATGTAGTAACACATTTAATCCTCAAAACAATTTTATGAATTAGTCATTATTAGTGTCCCCTTTTTACAGAAGATGAAACTGAAATACAGAGAATTTAAGTAAGTGCTAAAGGTCACATCATACCAGTGGTATAAGGCAAATTGATCAATGGAACAAAATAGATTTCCCAGAAATATCCATATCTGCATATTTATATATATATATATATATATATATATACACAAACACACATATACGCATGTGTGTATACACATATGTATATGTGTGTGCATCCAGTATATTATATTATGCTGAGATAGATGGATGTGGATAGATACAGATACAGATACAGGACTGACTATGTAGCAGAGGCAGCGTTACCAATCAGCAAGGATAACATGGACAGTCTAACAAATCGACAAGAAAATTGTTATCCAAATGGAAAACACAATTAAATCACTACACCAATCATAAAAATGAATTCAAGGTGAGGCGTAAAATTGTGAAATGTTTAGAAGAAAATAGAGGATATCTTTATGACATTAAAATAATGAGGAATTTCTTAAATAAGATACAAAAAGCAAAATTACCCAAAAATTGGATAAATTTGACCAAAAAAAGTAAAAAATTTCTCTACTCAAAGATCACACCAGTGAAATAAAAAGAAAAGACACAAACTGACAAAGAATTAGTATCCAGAATACAGAGACAAAACCTACCAGTCATTTAAAAAAGATAAATAACCCTTTCATTATGGGTAAAAAAATGAAATGACAATTTATAGCAATTTATAGCAGAAGAAATACAATTGGTTCACAAATATATTAAAACATATACACTCAACCTCACTAGTAACTAGAAAATTACAAATTAAACAATTAGATAATATTTCACACTCATCGAATTGGCCAAAAATTAATGCCTGAAAATACCAGATTTCGATGAAAATCTGGAGCAATGACAACTCTTTTGGGCTACTGGAGAGGAGTAAATCAGTACATTGATGTTGGAGAGCACTATGGCAATATGTAGTCTAGTTGAGAATGTCCATTCCCCATGATCCAGACTTTTCCAGCTAAAGATCCAGAATGGGACATGTAGAAGAATGTTTATTAAAAAGAAAAATTCAAAGCAATCTAAAATCCTATCAATGGGAGAATGGACAAATGCTACAAAGCAGTGGAAATTAAAATTCTAGAACTACATCTACCAAATGAATACATCTCAAAGCATAATGTTGAGGGGCCGGCCCGTGGACAAGTGGTTAAGTTCAAGCGCTCTGCTCTGGAGGCCCAGGGTTTCACGGTTTCGGATCCTGGGCACGGACATGGCACCTGTCGTCAGGTCACGCTGAGGCAGTGTCCCACATGCCACAACTAGTAGGACCCACAACTGAAATATACAACTTTGTACTAGGGGGATTTGGCGAGAAAAAACAAAAAAAATACATATCGTCAACAGTTGTTAGCTCAGGTGCCAATCTTTAAAAAGAAATAACTAAAAAACAACATAATGTTGAATTTTTTTTAAGCCATCTACAGAAGGGTACGTACAGTAAGATGCCATTGATGTGAATTTAGAAATCTTGCATGATAACAACATAAAGTTATGCATGGAAATGATAAAAGGATAATTGTCTCACATTGTATGATTACATTTAAACGAGATTTCCAGAATACGCAAATCTATAAAGACAGAAAGTAAGTTAGGAGTTTCCAAGGGCTGGAGGGAATGAGGCACTTAGTGTGTGATAGCTAAAGGGTATGGGGTTTCTTGATTGGGTGACGAAAATGTTCTAAAAATGATTGTGGTAATAGTTGCACAACTCTGTGAATATACTAAACACCCTTCAATTGTACACTTTGAAAGAATGAATCATATAGTATGTGAATTATATCTCAATAAAGCTGCTATATTCCAAAAAGAAAAGGACATTGGTAACCTCTGAAGAAGGATGTTGGGGAACAGGATTGGGGAAAGAACGCAGAGGCTCCAATTTTGTAATGTTTTATGTCTCTTATAAAAAATCTGAGGAAAACGTGGGATTAAGTTTTTATAAGTGATAGGTGGAATGTGCAAAGGTATTCATTACGTGTTGTTTACATTTTATTTGTGTTTAAGGTATGTGGTGATTTAAAAGGGTATCTAGGAGCTACTACAAATAGGATCTTATATCTGTGGACTGTGAAAAAGACAGAAGCATTGAGGACGCTGTGCATGTTCTGGCTTTCAGTGATGATGTGGAACCAAAGAAAGGGAAGTAACTAACAGGTCAGGGAGGGTGGAAGGAGAGGCGGGGAAAGGTGGGAGGAGGAAACGACAAGAGAAGGTGGTGGACGGGAGGAGGCTGTTTGGAGAGGCTAGCAAGTGAATAGTTAATTCGATTTTCAAAGAGTCCAATTTGAAATACTTATAAGATATCCAGAGGGAAAAGCCAAGGAAATAGTTGGAGATGTAAGTTTACAAATTTTGAGTTACGCAGAAGAGTCATAATTTTCTGTTTACCAAAAGAAACAGGAAGTATTTTCATATTATGTGTGTGCTTTTCAGACAACGTTTTAAGGAGCTAGTTATCCTGAACCGGTATCTCAGCAAAACGGAAGAAGCACCAGACATGAAGGCTGCGTGAGGACGAGACTCAGGAGGGAAGGAATGAAAATACACAACCCCAAATGTGGGCTGAGAGAGACAGATAAGTGGAATAACAGGAACCCAAAGAGGATTCAAGGAAGGAGCCTGCCTTTATCTGCAAGCCCAGAGGAAAAGGACTCGGTCAGGGGCCACAGGGAAGCCTTTGCAGGACGCCATCCTTGGCCATGTAACCAAAGAGAAACTTGGTCAAAGAAGTACCAGGAAACAGAAGGTTTCAAAACAAAGCTCAGCAGCCATGGGCTTCCTTCTCCTAGTGGGAAATCTCCTGGCTGCTGTTCATAACTGATCCTGACAGTTAATGGGTTTGTGAATGTGGCGTGACTTCCCTGAGCCTTGCGTCCCGTATGTAGGTAAAGGATAAGGCTATCTCCCATAGAGGACTGTGGGGAGGCTTCAACGGCACCGCAGATGTGACGGACTTAACACAGGCTGCTTCTGATATGAGGTATTCAGTAAATGTTTGTTCTTTCCTCAGGCCTCCACATTTTCTCATATTTTTAAATAGAGATACATTATATTTTTATGACAAATTTTTGTGGTTTTGAAACTCTATCCAGATGTCTAGCCCACCAAAAGTGATGTGATAATAGGCTTTCTTCTATATGTATACAATATAGATATTTTTTATTTTTGTAATGCAATTTGTTATTGAGCTATAACTGACATATAACATTAATTAGTTTCAGGTGTACAATGTAATGATTCGATATATGTACATGTTGCAAAATGATCACCACAATAAGTATCTAGTTAACATCCATCACCACACATAGTTACAAATTTTTTTCTTCTGATGAGAGCGTTTAAGATCTACTCTCCGGGCAACCCCATGGCCGAGTGGTTAAGTTCACACGGTCTGCTGTGGCAGCCCAGGGTTTCACCAGTTTGGATCCTGGGCGCAGACATGGCACGGCTCATCAAGCCATGGTGAGGCTGCATTCCACATGCCACAACTAGAAGGACCCACAACTAAAATATACAACTATGTACCAGGGGTCTTTGGGGAGAAAAAGGAAATAAATAAAATCTTTTTGAAAAAAAAAAAATCTACTCTCAGCAAATTTCAACTATGCGATATAGTGCTGTTAACTATAGTCGCCATGCTGTGTGTTACACCCCCACAACTTATTTATTTATAACTGGAAGTTTATACTTTCTGACCCCCTTCATCCATTTTGCCCACTCCTCACCCTCCACCTCTGGCAATCTCCGTATTTCCCCAGATCTCCACATTTTCTTATCTACCCCATTTGACAGAAAAGAAATCTGATGCTGGTAAGTCTTAGAGCTGGTAAATGTGGAGCCAAAATGCAAACACTAGTTTTCCGATTATAAATCTCACCTTTTTCCCACTAAACCATGAAAATCTTGCATTTCAACTCCATATTTTTAGAAGCTTAAAAGCAGAGCCCTGTGGGAGGACGTGAAGCATTTTGAATCACAGTTCACAGATAACATTTTGGAAAAGTTTAATTGGAGTGATTCTGAGTTATCAGTTTGGAAGTAAAAAGTGAGAGAAAGACTAATGCAGAAAGTTGTCCATGTGGTCCCAAAATATATTCAATATTTGCCAAGATTTTGATTGTTTTACTAAGAAGCAAGGAATAAGTAAAAGCTTATTTTTCACATTCACAGATGAACACTCAAGCAATATGCAATTGATGACAAGCTTTTTCTTATGCAAATATTATTTCACTGTGAAATCATTTCCATAAATGCAAGTGTGAAATCCTTCAGGAAACTGAAACAGAACACAGTTCAACTGTTACATGTGCCTTACTCTCCAGGTTTGTTCCTGAAAAGAGAATTTTCAAATATATTTTCTCTCTGACTTTCATTACAAATTTGAAGATACTTTCTCATTTTTTCAACTAACATACATATTTTCAGTTACAGACTGTGTCACAGTATGAATGGCACTGTTTATCACTATATAGAAAGGAGCGAACATGACCCACGTTATAATTAAAACCAAGAGTCTTGGAAAGGTGCTTTGTAACAGCACCTGTTGTATTATGGTGATTAAGTTTATGGATTTAGGATTGGCTGTCACCACCATTTACTAGCTGAGTGACTTTAATTAAGTTACTTAAAGTCTTTAAGCCTTAACTTCCTTAACTAGCAAATGGGGATAATACCTACTTAATGATATTGTTGTGTTTATAACATGAAACCACAGATGTAAGGTGCTTCATCCAATAAGTGCTCAATAAGTAGCAGTAGAAGGAGGAGGAGGAAGAATGATAGTGGTATTAATTGTTGTAGCAATATAGGAACAGCAGTGGCAGTAATAGTCGCAGTAACAGAAGTAATCTATTTAAATGGATTCTTAACATTACAGCCATCTGTATACTTGAGAATATCTATGGAATGATTCTGAAAGAACAAGAAGACATTTCTCAAAATCCCTCCTCAATAGCCAGTCTTTGTGCTTGGATTTCCTACTATCAGAATCAAGGGGTTGTGTTTTCAGGAGACCAAGGGTAAAAGGTGAGACCCTAAGCAGGTGAAAAATGAGAGGAATTTTGAGGATGTGCTCCTGAGAGGAAGTAGCGAGAAGAAATAAAAGGGGAGGCATGAGAGGAGAACGCGAACTGGGTGGAGGGTTGGGCCATTCACGGGGTAAAGGAGAAGAGAGAAACCCCCGGAGGCGGGGTAAGCTAAGGACTTTTAAAAATAAAATCTCTCATTTGTTTTGCTGCTGAATTTGGCCCAGCAGGGCACACAGTGGGATCCCTCCTGGTGACCCCTAACTGCTGGAGAAAGTTAAGTTCACAACTCAATTCTTTGTGTGAGTAGATTTTCATAGCAATTAAGGAAAGGGCAGAGTTTTACAGAGATAGCAGGCACAAACTCAAGAACCAGCCTCAGAGACCTTGAGGCAGACTTTGAACTTCTGCAGAACGTGGGATGGCCATTGGAGTCCAGCCTAACTAGATCTTAGCAGAAGGGAGACAGCTAACATCTGTTAGACGTTTGCTACCTAAATTCTTTTTGCTTCCCCTTCACCACCACCACCACATCTAACCTCCCTTGGCTAACTCCTAGTCACTGTTCAGATCCCAATTTTAAAGTTACCGAAGGTCTTCTCTGACCCTGCCATGTCCAGATTAGGTATACCTGCCCTACTCTACCATATCACCCTATACACTTTACACACCCCCGTCATGGCACTTTTCACAATTATAATACATGATTCATTGGCTCTTCCCCTATAAGACTTTAAACTCTCTGAAGACCAGAACAGTGTCTATTTATGTACACCATTCTATTTCTAATGCAGAGCACTACACTCAACGCATAATAGGAACTCAGTAAATCTTCTTTAAAGAGAAAGTAAGTTGAAGAGGGAAGGATAAAGAAGGAGGGAGACAATGCCCAAAGCATGACACACTTGCCTTTTTTTAAAAAGACAGCCCAGTTTGGTTGGCCATGGTAGAGGAGAATCTGAAATCCAAATGCTGACGCAAAGCAAAGTTTGTTCATGACACTCTCCTTCTCCATTGAGGACTGATTTTTCAGAGCCAAGACTATCGGGAGGAAACGTTTCAGGGATCTGACCACTGTTTCTAAGGAATGTACTCTTTTCCAACTTCAGTCTCCAGATTATTCAGTTACTCTGAGAACAAAGACACTACAAAATACAGTTAGAGACAAAGAAGGCAAAGAAATGTCTCCCCAACAGTGTGTTTTCCCTCCTCTTGTAAAGGGCTAGCCTAGCCGGGCAATGGTCAGGCTCTCTTGGGTTACAGGTCTAGAGTTAGATCAGAGGTCATGGGGTTTGGGAGGCCCAAGATTGGATCAGCAGACAAGGATGAAAACAATAGTAATGCCACAGTTCAAACTGCCAAGAAGGGATCTCAAGGGTTTCGGGGGCACAGAGTATTAATTCCGAGTATAGGCTGAGTTTAGCCCCGAAGACTAGAAAGTGAGTGTGAGCAGACTTGTGAAGGGAAGAAAGGAGCACATTATTTAAATATTATTGAACAACATTTAATAGTGGATATCGTTTAAAATACGCAGCTACTTCAACCAATAGCGTGTGCAGCTTGCTTTTGAGAGCCAGCCTAAGTGTGGTGTGTGGACGAGTCTGTCCAGTTTCAAGCGCTCAAGAATGGAGTGAGTAATCACTGCTCTTTGCTCAATCCTTCATTCCCCAGATCTGGATATGCTCCCCTGAAGACGGCCTTGAGTATGGGGATTCTAACTACACTCTCTCATGGCAGGCAAAGGTGATGATGCTTGCAGCAGAGGCCGGGGCAAATTCCAGGGAAGATTGAGAGAAAACTCACCTCTCCAGTTGAAAGCCAGGGGCAAGGGAGATAGAGCCCAGCCCCAATGCTAATAAACATACACGAGACTTCTAGTCATGGTTATTAGCAAATGGCGTCCCCAGAAACAAAGCTAATGATTTAAGGGAGTTGCATTGCCAGAAAAAGAAAAAGTAAAAAAACCCAGGCCCAATGAAGAAGGACCCACACTTTTTCAGTTTCTAAAGCAACCCCAAGGCCCAAGTATTCGTACCAACAGAAAGTGGACTGCTTTGTACAGACTCCACATCATCCCAAGTGCCACACTCAGATGGCCCTGACAGGCACTGGACAAGCGCAGTCCAGCAGTCAGAACCTGAGACAGCCAGATCAGCTAACCAAGGAACTCACTCAGCTGCCAGCAATGAGGTGACTAATGGATGCGTGTAAGATCCTGGGACCCCATAAATTATCAGCAACGGAGGGTAGGAGCTCTGAACCTATTGCCAATGATGGCTCTTTTCCTGTATCTATTCTCTAAGTGGGAGTTTTTTATTGACGTTATTCCAATTTTCCCTCCACAATTTTGTACCAGATGTGTAAGAGTGTTTATCTTTAAATAGTGGGTTGCAAGACAGTGAGCTATCACATGTAGACAAGAAAAAGACTGAACTGGAAGAGGAATGGAATTCTCCCAGAAATCCTGTTCTCTAATCCTGAATAATATCTCCATAAAAACTCTTTTGGATGCAGAGGCAGAATATGACTTTGGGGTAGGCTGCATAAGGAAGTGGTGTATATTGTATAGAAATGATGTTTATATGATACGGTTAGATCATCTTAGGTGGGGAATCTTTAAATGTATGAGAAAAAAGAAAGACGTCTCTTTGTAGGAGTCTGAGGTGGGGGTCTTGTGGTTTACCCAGGTCAGACTCCTTTACCCAGCTCTGGGGAGGCCCTATCTGTACCCTAATCCCATTGCCACCAACGTGCCCAGAGTGGCAGGACTCCTGACAGCCGTTTTTGTACAATGTGACCACTCCCCCCAAACCATGCTGGATTGGACCAAAAGTGTACACCTGTCCCAAGCTGACTGCTTCTCAGAAGAAATTGGAAATGCAATCAAAAGATTCCCACTTCAGTGTGGCTCCATCCTGAATGGAGGAAACACAGCCCCAGGGTTTGACCGTGGCCA